AGGCAGCTGACGCCAGCTCAACATGTGTGCCTCTCCCACGGTTTGCCTGTCGAGGACTGCAGCGCGGAGGACGACGACCCAACGACCCACCTGGCTTCGTTACTCCCCTCGCTGCCGGAGAATCTGCACAAGACCTGATGAAACATCGCGGACGCGCTGTTCAGAGCAGCTTCAAACCATGCTGGCGAAGTGAAACAGTCGGAGGAGGTGCCAGAGGCTGTGCACCACCTCATCAAGCCGCGCGGCCCACCCTGTCCCGCTGGAGGGACCGTCGCGAGCAAGCTTCGACTTTTCCACGGCCGCGGCTCTCGCTGAGTTCCACCACCAGCCCCGCCCGTCAGAATCCAGCCCTCTTCACTCCGGCAACCTGCAGCTCAGCGTTTCCCCAGAGTTCGCATGCAAGACAGCGCTCTGGGCAAACAATCGCAGAGCTCATGAGAGAGAAAGCTCTCAAAATGACGGTCTCCGGAGGGTGTGTGTAAAAGTGACACGAAAGTTGAAATAAATCATCATTAATGATCAAGTGTCTGTTTTTTAGCCAGTCTGTAAGCCCGGATGAGCTCACAGCGGCCGCACACATAAGAGCCGGTGTCCTTTATAAGGCTTTTTAAACTCACCGCCGCTCCAAGACATTATTAATCGCTTACAGGGCACGATGGTAAGTGAAAATAACTCGTTATAATCCCGGGCTGCACGTTTTTCACCCAAGTGATGTCAACTCGTACCCGTGGGATGAATCAGCCCCACACACGAGCCGGTGTCCTTAAATAAAGGTTTTTTAAACTCACCGTCGCTCTAAGACATGACGAGTCGATCACAGAACAGCCTCCACACATGAGCCGGTGTCCTTAATTAAAGGTTTTTAAACTCACCGTCGCTCTAGACATGACGAGTCGATCACGGCACAACGGTAAGCGAAAATAACTCATTACCAACTAGAACTGCACGATCCTCACTCAAGCGGTGTCAACTCGCACTCGTGGGATGGAACAGCCTCCACATGAGCCGGTGTCCTTAAACAGGTTTTTAACTCACCGCCGCTCTGACATGACGAGTCGATCACTAAGATGGACAGCCTCCATCCAACGGCGCTACGTTGATGCTGGCGCACACACACAGCTGCCGGCGCTAACCAGCTCACATCGGTATGAATGTGGTCCGCAGGCTGGTCCGGGTGGGGGTCCTTCTCTCTCAGCTTTCGGCAGCTCACCGCAGCTTAAACGTGAAGCAGCCGAAGAATCCGGTAATGAGTCCCACCTCCCTCTAGCGCGCGCCCCTCCAGCGAGAGCGGCGCGCGTCCCTCCAGAGAACAACGTGTGCTCCCGCGGGGCTAAGCAGCCTTCACTCCAACAGCACGGTGTAAATGAAGTCACGCCCTCCGCCTTTCAACGTTCGCACAGCGACGTCAAACGCGCAGCTCACCGCGTCATCAGCTGTCACACGCTTCGCCTTCAGCTCAAGTCTCGCCCGGGGTCACACAGAAAACATTCCCGCGACGCATGACGGCGGTTGAGGGACGGACTGCTGACAGCCGTACAAAACATGACGCATCATTAACGCACGTTCATCCACGAACGTTACGTAGAGTGGCTAAACATGCTCGCCGTTTTTCAGATGGATGGACAGGGTTTATGCAAATGGTACAAGTTACAGTTTGCAACCCGAACCCCTCCATTCAGAGGAGTTATATAAACGGTCCCGTCATCATCAGACTGATTCTCTTCCCTAAATGCAGAAATCCAAGTGTTTTCTGATAAAAGTAATCTACAGAGTTCCCCAAGGGAGAGAAAACACGAGGGTTTTTACTCACGGATCGGAGGGGTGAGACCGTTCTTGGATCTGTTGTTTAACATCCAGAGAACGCATACCGATCATCCTAAAACACAGAGACGAGAGTTTTTTGTTTTTACCTGGATGATCTGCGGATCCTGTCACTTCAGACAGGAGGCGCTGATGCAGGATCAGGTGTTGACATCACACCTGTTAATCTGGGCTTCGCCATAAGTGGAAGGAAGCTCGATTTTCCCGGCCCAGACATTTGTTTTTCTGGAGTGGAATTAAATTCAACCACCATGAAAACTCATTTATCACACGAGACGCCTCTAGAGGTGTTTTTTGCACGTCTGCATGTGGATCCAGTAAAACAAACGACAGATGATCATTGTCTTTTCCTCTGTGGAAGCAGACCTCCGACTCTGGGGAAACACCTTGTTTTTCTATCAGAGGGAGTCCCCCTCAGCAGACCCACGTCATGGGTCAGTCTTCACGGACACGTTGCTGTCAGGCTGGGGGGGGGATATACCTATCTCAAGCAGTAGGGGCGCTGTGGCCCCACTACACATCAGCCCACATCAATGTTTTGGAGTGTCGCACAGTACTGAATGTGATTCAACACCTTGCTCCTGTGCTACAGAATCAACACGTGTTGATTCACACAGACATCATGATGACTGCTGCATACATAACCATCAGGGTGTGCGTTCAGCCAGATGTTACACATTGTGCGAAAGCTACTGAGTTGGGTTCATCAAAACCTGCTTTTATTAGAGCGGTTTACATATCCGGTGTTCTGATGTGACGTCCAAGGGCGGCCCACGTTACGTGGACCGGATCCCCCATCCGGATCTGATGTTTTTCAGACGCAGCAGAAGTTGGCAAAGCAGCTGTGGACCTGTTTGCGATGCGAGAAGAACGCTCAATGTCAACTACGGTTTTCCCTGAGCCCGCGAGACGATCCATCGCTGGGGGGGGACGCATTTGCTCACAGTCGGTGGCCCAAAACGCTTTTTACGCGTTTCTTTCCCCCCCACCTCCTCTGTTTTTTACGGTCCATGAACCGAGTTCAAGAGGAGGGATTGACAGCTCTCCTTGGTGGCTCCCGGCGTGTGAACGCACTATGGTTCCCAGGCCTGCAACGTCTGTTGTTGGGTTGCCGTGGAACTGTCATGGAGGAAGGATGCTCTCCTTCAGGCAGGAGGAGCGACCAAGAGTTACCCAGAAATAGGTCAACACCGGTGGGTCTGACCGCTGAGCGGTTCCACTTAGAGGATGGGTCTCCCTCAGGAGATAGTGTGCACAATTCAAGATTCACGTGCTGCATCTACCACAGTTCTGTACACATCAAGGGGACGGCTTTTCAGCGCTGGTGCACAGAGAAGGTTTAGAGACCACCTCATGCCTTTTAAGCGGCGTGTTGTTTTTCTACAACAGCTGATGGATAGGGAGTTGGCTTTCAGTACGCTTTAACGTACGATTGCAGCCATCTCTTCCTGCCACAAAGGGTTTGGAGACAGAACAGCTTTTATCACCCGCTGATGAAGCGGTTTCTAAAAGGTGTACAGAGATGTAGGCCTGTTTTCACGCCCACTTGTTTTCCACAGTGGGTTTAACGCTGGTCCTGCGAGCCCTGATCAAAGCTTCAATTGAGCCTCTGGATCAGGTTTCATTTAAATTCTTGTCTCTTTTAACAGCCCTGTTGCTGGTTTTAACACCCGCTAAGAGGGTAAGTATTTATCTGCCCTCTCTGTTGCTTCGTCATGCCTTAGAATTAGGCTGACGGGCAGCTCAGCTGATTTAAGACCAACCCAGCTTTTATGCCTAAAACATCACGAGCTCTTTTAAATCAAGAGTGATATCGTTGGAGGGGTCTTTTCCCCCCCACAGATCAGAAGAGGAAGCATCTTTTCATCTTCTCTGCCCGGTGCGGGCGTTGACGTGTTACATAACGCACACAGCTGCAATGCGTTTCAAACTCAACAATGGTTTGTGCATTATAGAGATGTTTCTACAGGTCGCCGTTATCCATCCAGCGCTTGTCACACTGGCTGTGTGAGGCCTTTTCTGAAGCCTACAGAGCATCAGATTTAGAGCCTCCTGTCAACCTCTAAGCACACTCGACCAGGGGTATCGCATCTTCGACTGCTCTGCATAATGGTATGTCAATGCAGGACATCTGCACTGCGGCTGCATGGTCAACACCCTGCTCATTTATTCGCTTTTACCTACGTGATGTAACGGCTCGTTCCATGACACATTCTGTCCTTAGTGCTCTAACAGAATGAATGTTATTGTTCTCATGGAACTCTGTTTAAGCTCACTTCTGTCTGCATGCATTACAGTGTGAGATGTTGTTATCAGTCACAAGTCGTGTCTGTGATTTTGGTTATATTGTCACTAATCAGTTCATGATTATTGTTACCAATCAGTTCAATTGATTTATAATCAATTTATGGACATTAATCTGTTTATACTGTTCAGCCATGAACCAGTTGGTTCATGCCCCCCCCCCCCCCCCTCTTTTCAACTTCTTCTTCCCGTTGAAAGTTTTCCGGGGTATTCATGCTTTGTCAGAACGCATAGCTACACAACATGCGTCTGTGCATGGCACATAATTACGCGATGCGTAGTTATGCACATGGGGAGCTGAGTGACAAGACGTTTTTTGGGCAAGCTTCCGCTTCTTACTGTGTTCGAATGGACCCAGTGAGGCGAGGACCACATCGGCTTCGCCCTTTTACCCACTAAAGCGAAGGCCTTAAAGGGCGAAGCTTATATGACATAGAACGTTGGTTACGTACTGTAACCCCAGATTCTATGAATATAAGCGTAGCCCTTTAAGCGTCGGGCCTCACTGGCTCCTAAATGGCTGAAGAAAAAAGCTATTTTGGGAGCCGATTTCCCGCTCTTAACGTAATTTATACGGACCGGGTAGGGCCCACACAGCAGGTGGGCGTGGACTAATTTTTTCAGTGCTTATGCTCTGCATAACGGGATAAACCCACTAAAGCGAAGGCCTTAAAGGGCTACGCTTATATTCATAGAATCTGGGGTTACAGTACGTAACCAACGTTTTTATTAGGATTCATTGTCCTTTTACCTCTCAGAACATAAACATGTTAATGTGTGCACATTATTCTTGGATGGCTGCTGGAGTCAGTACTCTTCTCAGAGGTTATGGTAAAAAAACAAGTTCATACTTTAAATTCAAAAACATAAAATAAAGCCAATTTTTTATATATTTTTTGCAGTATTTGTTGGAAATGCCTCTTGTTTCTGAAATGCATTGGGTAGCTTCCGCTACGTCACATCTGGACAAAGCAGAAGAGATCCAAGTGAAGAGGTCTGGCCATCATTTACACATCGTGAAAACCCAAGCACAGCATGTCAGAGTAAAAAAATAAAACTCAACTCAAAACATTTGTTTTTTTGTATACAGTGGCAAAGGGCTAATGATTTGGCTCATTTGAAAACCACAGACTTGCTGTTTAAAGTCAACCACAAACTCTTCTGTATAGCTGTGATGCATTTTAACGATAGCTAATTTAAAAAATGGAAATGAGATGTTGCACAGGTCCAACTGACTTGAAAGGCTTAGGTGGGACCTTAGGAGGGCTGTAAATGAACAAATATCCATAAATCCCAATGGACTGAAACCGGATGGTAAAGAAATGAAAAGCTATTTTAATCCACAACAATGTGTCAGACTAATAAGGTCAGACAGAAGACAATCACCTTGAGTTCTTGATGCTAAACATGCTTTTAAAAGCTGAGTTTTAGTATTTTAATAATTATTGGGCCTTTTTTTCCTACCAATTCATTTAGCCTTGACCAACTGTTATTCAGAATCAGCTTTATCAGAATCAGCTTTATTGTCATTGCACCGAAGCACAACAAAATTACATTTCAGTACAGCCGGTCTGAAAAAACATAACCAAACAGACATGGGGAGATGGAGGTGTCTGAGGCTGCAGCCTTTAGGAGGTGCTGCCCTTTTCATTTAGATAAGAAAAACAAGGGGAGGGGAGCT